TGCATACTATACTGTTTCTACGACCTTTAGTTTTTGGTTACATTTTCGCAAAACAACACGAATATATTCACTGACGTGACCGCCAGAATTGACAAACGTCAAAAATCAAAGCTTGGGAAATATCTCCGAAAACATCCGATTGCTCCCAAACCCGTGCGGTAAAATCCCGGAAATGTCCGAAGTGGCTCTGATTCATGGGAAACGAAACTGACGTGGTAAAGTGACGCTTCCCGCACGCTAGTTAGGGGTCCTTAAGAGTGTGTTACCATAAGCTTCACTCGCAAGTGGCTGGAACAAGTTGCACAGTAAATCTAGTCAGCTCATAATCGGTATCGATCTCATCATCTATTGCTTTAAAAAATCAGTTTTCACTTATCTATAACTTCTCATTTCTATAACGAAGCTTAAGGAATGTTAAATGAGTGATACACCGCGAAAACTTGAAATTTTGCTGTTAATCATTAATCAAACTTGCTGATGTTTCGCCAATCATCAGTTTCGGTTATTGCTAATTCGTATTCGGATTATACCTAAACTATATCTAACATAGACTGTCAAATTGCAAGACCGAGCTTTATCGAGCTCCCGCGCGAAACGAGACCCTCCGAGCCTTTCCGAAATGAGACCGAACGCCGTTCGGGATTTTCGATACTTCCGAAGATTCCCATTTCAAATTAACCAGCGAAAAGTGCATTAGAACAGGCAACAACTATACTACTGCTGCCATCAACTTTTTTGGGAACATTTTGGGAACAGAAGCATCACGTCCTTCATCTGTTTCGAAGATTCTGATTTAGAAAACTAGGTACCCATAAGAATAAATGTTGGTAATGTAACAAAACTTAATCCGGTCTACCAATTTTACAGTACAGTGATAATTAGAATCCCTATATAAAGAGAATACACACAATATACGTATATATGTGAACGTTAATGCTGTTTTTAAAAATAAATTGTCAAATCCGGTGGCATCTGCAGTATACGGGAAAGAGTTTTGGTCTCTTAAATTCCTAACTGAGTATTAAAATGAATTAAATGATAATAAACGTTGTTCCTGCAAGGATTTTTTCCAACAACAATTAGGGAGTTAACTGAGAATGTAACGAAATATACAAAACTTAATGCGGTCTACCAATTTTACATAACATTTAAAAATAATTCGGTCGCATCTGTAGTATGCGGGAAACAGATTTGGTTTTCTTAGTTTTGGGAATTTCGAACTGAATATTAAAATGACTTAAATGAAAGCACTACAGCACTTTTTCCAAGTAGTATAAAGGTTTCAAGTAGTTTATGTAGTGTATTACATAGTATGTGTTTTAAATCCCCAAGTTTGTGAGTAACATGATTTTTTCGTTTAAGATTGTAAATAAAGTGAGTACCGGAATTCTGTATTTTTGATCATTTATATTTATTTAAAATATCTAAAGCAGGGCCCATAGATAAGATCACACTTAATTTATATGGTTTAGTGCTCCTTTTTTAACTTCTTCCGATCATATTCTAATTAATCCACCACAAAACGACATCGACATGTAAATGAGAGTATGAACTCGTACTCAAATTTTGTTCGGTCTAACAGACCGAGGCTATTCAACAATATACCGTTTTTGCGAGATATTCCGTATTTAACTTTGGTAAATTATTATGAAGGTCTAACCGCAGACCTACCTCGCTTGGACTTTTCTTTGTAACCTTCAATACATAGATTTTCAATTCGACAATTACGTTCCAGAACCGTACTTCGGTACTGACTGGCGGAGTTTATGTTAGATATTTATTTAAAAAAAATTATTTTACATCAAAATAATCACTATCGTCGCTGAACTCATTTCACACATTAATAATTACTTGTGGCACTAGTCGACTTCTCTAAACATCTGTAAACAACTTTGAATCCACATTATACTTCTTATCAAACGTTCCCGGTCTAACAACTTCCAACAACTGCTTCTTTGTTTAGGAATTTTTAAAGCACATATAATTTTCAAGCAAAAAACTTTGAATGACTTGTTTAGTGGATGAATTCGGTATTTTTTCCGCTTGTACAGAATGATAGCTGCCGTTGTCCATCACGACATCACTGTTTGGTGGAATATTGGGAAGCAATTTTTCAGAATAGCATTTTTCAAAGATGTCTGCTGTCATTTTTTTGGGGTAGCCAACTGTTGACATCTTTTGCAAGAAGCAACAAAGCGTTAGCTACCCACCCAGCTTCAATCCATCCTTTCTTGACGGTATCGTGTTTTGACGTATCTTGTCCTTCATTCCCAAATTCTTCTTGATTCCATCAAAACTTGTCTCTTATTGATGGTATTGTAATAAAACCAATTCTTGGTAGGAACGCACCCAAAGTCTCTAGGTAACAGTCATTGTTCCAAAATACTACGAAACTCTTCATATCAAGTTTTAATTGTTAAAATAATATTCTTCTGAAACGCATGGTATATCAACCGTTTCACTATTCCTGCGTGGTGCATGTCAAGTGGATTTTTTGGGACCCCACGATTTTCCGCGTCTTTCCTTCTTGGACACCATTCACAACTAAGTGACGTACTGTGGCATACGGTGTTTTAGTCATCTCGGACGTTAATTTTATGACTCCACTTTTCCCAGATGTCGAATTCGGAAACAGAAACACATTTAAAATTATAATTTTGGCAGTAACTCTTTAATTCAGTCTGATAAGAAATAAATTGTAATAAAATGTATATGGTACCTCAATAAAAATGGCACACAGTAAGTTGGTGATCACTAATTAGAAACACAAGACGGAATAGAAATAACTCCAAAGCTTCGACGGCTGTTTCATAAAACTGACCCCCACAAATCAACCAATAGCAAACTGGAAAAGCTTCCATTAAAAATCAATTATTTACATAAGATTTTGTTTGTATTGCTTCCAAGGCAGAGTCATTATGTTAAACCCTAAAATTGGAAATCGGTTTAAACTTTCTAATGTGCTTTAGACATAGAAGATTAACCTATCTAATGGGCAAATTCAATTTTAAATCGAGCTACTTCAAGTAGGTTCTGTTTTAGGAAGATTTATAGAAGCAGACTAATATAAATCAATATAACAGTTTAATCAAAGAAAATTTCCCTACTCTTAAAATACAACAGTCTGCACGGCACAGTTCTTGTCGGCTAACATCTTAAATACGGCCCTCACTTGTGGTATACATGCTGAAAAGAATGGTCCCTTCCGCTTTACAACAGGCCGGTCTTAAACTCATTCGGAAGTCAAAATCATAAAGGTTGTAAAAACGGTATGTTGTTGTTGTGCGAACTAAACAGCAAAATAAATAAGAACTAAAAGTTCAGATTTTCACGAAATTATATATTTTGACATGACAATTGTTTCGACAACACCGTGTCTTTATCACATGTAATATTTACAAACTACATACCAAACATCTTACGAATAAGGAAATCTTTTTACTTACATTTTTAATACAAAATAATTTTTGCCACATTGCATTTTATTTTATTTTTTTAAATATAATTAAATATAAATTAATAATGCATAATAATAATAAACTCAAAAATATGTATTTAAAACTACCTTAGTACCAAAAAATTTTTATTTCAATTTTAATTTTCTTTTACCAGAACAAATTATTATATTCAACATAAAAATCTTATATTCAACAATTTAGTCACGAGCGGAGCGCAGCGGAGCGAGTGTCTAAAAAAACATAAGATTAAAATATATTTAATTAAGGGATGTTTCCATTTACATCTCATTTTCAGTTTTATTTAATTTTATTAAATATAAATTAATTAAATATAAAAATATTATTTCAAACAGTTTAATCACGACCGGAGCGCAGTAGAGCGAGTATTTAAAAAAAATGATAAATTGACTGTTTATATAAAAATATAATTTCTTTGTGAAAACAATCTATTTACGAAAGTGTTCTCTCTATGAAGACGGTCCATATACAAAGACGGTCCGTATACGAAGGCGGTCCGTATAGAGAGGCGATCTGTATATGGAGGCGGTCTGTATATGGAGGCGGTCTGTATGCGGAGGCGGTCTATATATGGAGGCGGTCTGTATATGTACATTTGATGAATGAATGAGTGATTGACATTTGATAAAGACACGGGGTAGTCGAAACAATTGTCATGTCAAAATATATAATTTCGTGAAAATCTGAACTTTTAATTCTTATTTATTTTGATAAATGGATTTTCATCAAGTAAAAGCCTCAGTTCAACTATAGAGCATTTTAAAATATAAATTGGACGCTTATTTCACAGTACAAACAAAATTATTAACCCTTATGTTTATAACCCCTATGCGTCTTCGATCTACTTAAATGAATGTGGAATTTTTTTCTTATTTCGTTTATAGATGTTGCGGAGAGTAATATAAACTTTTGTTTTTTTGTGTACTTACTCTGTGACCAAACATTCTATCTAGGTGTTTACATTCCTCAACAGCTGGAAATTTAATGCAGTTTATAGATATATCTTAAACTCATTCGGATGTCAAAATTATAAAAGATTGTAAAAACGGTATATTGTTGCGCGAACTAAAGAGTATTTTAAAATATAAATTGAACACTTATTTCACAGTACAAACAAAATTATTAACCCTTATGTTTATAACCATGTGCGTCTTCGATCTACTTAAATGCATGTAGATTTGTTTCCTTGTTCTTTTGTAGATGTTGTTGTGTACTTAGTCGGAAAGATTCTATCTAGGTTTTTATATTCCTCAACAGCTGCAGTTTATAAATATATCCACGTTTTGAGCGGTTTAATTCTTCCAAAGCGGGCTTAGTTCTAAGCCATAATTAATTGAGTATTTAGATACGGATTCCACTTATCTTGAATGTCATTATTAGACCTGTTACAGTTACATAAGATACAAAGTAACTAATACCAAATCAGTGGGCCGTAGTACGTCATCCATCCGGCGAACGATGCGCTTCGCGTATTGTCAGTCCTTTCTGTTTTACCGTTCTTGACCAAAGTCTCCAACTACTTACCATTGCCGGATCTCCTTTTCCGTAACTGAAAAAAAAGCAAACATGAGTTAATAGCACACCCGTGGCGACTAACTTAACAATTAAGAACGCAGGCTGGATAAATTTCCAGAAATTTATTACGCTTTTGACATTCACATAGTACGTCACGAATACAATTAGTCGCATTCGCCGCAACTGCAGGTTAGGCGGTCGCATACTTCCTCCCAGTCGATCTTGCGGACGGGCGGGCTTAAACGGTGGATGAGTTCCCTGCCGTGTTTACCGACTACTGCCCCCGCCAACAACCCCGCGAACAACGATCCGTAATCGTACCACCGGAATTTCGCCATATCAAATAATTTGCAAGTCAAAGTATCATCCGTACGCGTCGATAAAATTTTGAAGCTACTCGTCTCCGGAGCATTCGCAAACGCAAAAGTCGTCGGTTTTCTCGCAATCTTCTTCGTAATTTCTCGGCACGAATTCCTCGTCTCCTACCTCGCGACTCACTTGTTTGAAACGACCGAGGATCGCCCTGCCGTGTCTGGCGACGAAAGACCCCGCTACCGCCCCCAAAATAAAACACCCGACGTCGAAAACTATTTTGACCATAATTTACAAAAGAATACCCGGTCGACAGTGACAGTGACAAATACAAAAATAAATAACTCGTATTGCTAAAGATGGAAACTCCGCGTTATAAATGTATTGCCATCTCCCGGCTTGGCGCGAAGTGCTAGGCGAAATTAATAGAATCTCCGCTTAACATTTTCGCAATACCTCTAAGTCCGAAAGACTGGTAGTTTTAGTACCGTGACATCCGGTCAATTCCAAAAATTCACAGATTCAATGAATTTAAACGTACATTTGTGAACCCTCGAACTGTTTGTTTTGTTTCAACGTGAAGAACAACCAACGTAAAATTAGAAGCTGCAAAAAATAGTTTCAATATTCACTAAACAAACTTCATTAATTTCATTATTAATCATTAATTAATTTATTCAAATGATACTCTGTAATGATAGTGAATAATTAATTCAAATTTTTTTTGCAACACGACTCCTTAAAAATAAAACATATTCAGGATAAGACACCTCATAAAAAAACATTAAAAAAAAAGCAATGTAACCTAATCTTTGATCAAATTTAAAAACAAATTAAAATAATAATATAGCCGATATTTAGAAAAACCATTGTATTTCAATTTCACTTTCAGACCATTATTATTAAATAAAAACGCTTCATCTTTTATTCGCTTAAGTGGTCAAAAGGACATATACTGATTTCTTTCATTATTTTTGACATAAAACAAGAGATATTTCATACCTAATTTTCTTATGGACTTTATTATGCCTCATCTTATGTTACAGCATATTTTTCTATTTCTGTGAACTAATTATTACCACAAAATTTCCACTATTTATCTCCACCACTATCGTTCTACCAATTACCAGTAACTAGGTTCATTTCCCCCAAAATTTCGACTAATTAATTACCAGGACTGGGTACGCTATATCACGACAATGAAATACCTTGCGAAAAAATTGTGTGGCGAATTAATTTCATTATTAATCATTAATTAATTTATTCAAATGATATTCTGTAATGATAGTGAACCTCTTCACGAAGGATGTTAGGTAATAAGGTGTTACTACATGAAGGTATTCTTTCAATACACTGGCACTAACAGTTCTGTCTGAACTTGACTAAAAATATTTCAATAAACAAAATATGCACACAAAACTAATTATTAAAAACACAACACAATTATCGATGCCCTATAAATATTACAACAGAAATGATCAGTTAACAAATAAAGGTAGGCAGCCAGTTCTTATTTAACCTTAAACTAAACTTTTTTTTTTTTCATAAAACTATTTATTACGAATGTGTGAGTGGCAAAAACCCCTTTTTACCGTCTAGTTAAGTCTCTTTGGAGATATTCAAAGTCATTTCCGAAAATATTCGAACAAACCAGAGTACTTTACTTTCAGAGGTTGAATTAAGAACAATAAAATGTGGTTACCAAAGCAAAGCGTGTTTTCAAAACATATTTTTTTCCAAATTAACGTTTACCTAATATTGTACCTAGTTCCCGTTACTGAATCACCAGACATAAATAGTTTTTTTTATCAGAATTCGACCGAACAAAATATCAATTCGACATTAGGGTGGAATTCAGATTCTCTCATTCTCTCAGGAAAAGTAATAGCAACAAGTGCGGTAAACGGCATTTGACTCACGAGTATATTTGACACAAGCGCAACAAGTATTTAATAAACGAGTGAGTTAAAAAGCTTACCAACGTTTTTTACATTTTCCCAAAACAATAAGAATACGATTGCTCCCAAACCCGTGCGGTAAAATCCCGGAATTGTCCGAAGTGGCTCGGATTCGTGCCAAGCGAAACTGACGTGGTAAAGTGACGCTTCCCGCACGCTAGATCGGTGTGTAATTTTCCAGACGGGAGTAGAAAAAAATAATTAATTCAATTTTTTTTGCAAAACGACTTCTTAAAAAATAAAACATATTCAGGATAAGACACCTCATAAAAAAAACATTAAAAAAAAAGCAATGTAACCTAATCTTTGATCAAATTTAAAAACAAATTAAAATAATAATATAGCCGATATTTAGAAAAACCATTGTATTTCAATTTTTGCTTTCAGACCATTATTTTTAAATAAAAACGCTTCATCTTTTATTCGCTTAAGTGGTCAAAAAGACATATACTGATTTCTTTCATTATTTTTGACATAAAACAAGAGATATTTCATACCTAATTTTCTTATGGACTTTATTATTCCTCATCTTATGTTACAGCATATTTTTCTAATTCTATGAACTATTTATTACCAGAAAATTTCCACTATTTATCTCCACCACTATCGTTCTACCAATTACCAGTAACTAAGTTCATTTCCCCCAAAATTTCGACTAATTAATTACCAGGACTGGGTACGCTATATCATGTCAATGAAATACCTCGCGAAAAAATTGTGTGGCGAATTTTTGAAAGCAATAAATATACTGTATAGTGTGATATTTACGAAAATTGTCGCATCGACTTCACGCTGGAGACGGCCCGAACTCAAAATAAAGGCACGCGTAGATAACATAACTTTCAGGGAGGAAAAGAAATGACGCGAAAGGGTGCACGTTACATATTCATGTATGCAAATCATTCGATATAACAAATAGGGAAGGGGGTGTGCTTTTCCAGGGGTCGGTTGTCCTTCGATTGATTTTTTTTCTAATCTCGAGACGTATCCCCGATGCCCCAGATAAAACCGGCAGCGTTTACGTGTATTTACATAATAAATTGTTCGAGGCGAGCAAGTGTGTGCACGCAAATTCAGGTTGCGACCAGCCGGCAGCTAATAAGGTCGTTAATAATTTAGCGTTGATCGATTAACTATTCACTGACCTCAGTTTATGGGCACAAAAACGTTCCCGTTATTAAGTTTACCGTCTATTTATAATGCAACCCGCGACGGGAATCGCAAATGGCGAGTGACGTCTTAAAAACGTCCTTTGTAAGTCTGCATTTGTCAAAGTCATGTGAGGGAGTAAGCCTTCCACCAATACTTCTGTCAAAAATTATAGAAGAAGATAATACTCAAATGTTACAGTTGCGAATTTTTTTAGAAATATTCATATCATTCATATGTAGTATGACAGCCTTCTGTCCCGTACTCCACGATGTTCTGTGGAAGTCCGATGTCTTTTAAATTTTTGGAGACGATTCTGTCCGCCGAAATTACAAATGGGTAGATAAACACTTTATTGAGCTGCCAAATATTTTTCAATTCCACTGCCAAATTTTCGTATTTTTGTATTTTTTCTGCTTCAGTTTTACTGATATCGTGGGAGAGTGGAACAGCGATATCAATTATGAGGGCATTTTTCTTTTCTTGTCTATAAGAACGATATCGGGTTTATTGTAGTCCACTGTTCTATCTGTTGTAATAGGTCTATCCCAGTACAGTATAGCTCTGCCATGTTCGAGTACAGCCGAGGGCTGGTATTTATAATTACTATATTATTTATTGTTATTATTATTATAAGGCAGGATGTGAAGTATTAGCACATAAGGCTTACCTCGACAGACACAACCAAGTCGCTAAAATAGTCCACCAAGAGATCAGAGTGCAGTACATAGGACTAAAAGATACGGTACCGTACTACCTGTATGAGCCCCCAACCCTTTGCGAAAACGAGAGCACAAAAGTATACTGGAATAAACCCATTTCCACGGATCGCCATATACCAAACAACATCCCGGGTATAGTCTTGAAATTAAAAGATAAAAAAAAAGCTTTCATCATAGACCATTGCCTAGCAACATATCGATGAAATATACTGAGAAAATCAATAAATACTTGCCACTAGCGGATGAAATAAAAAAAATGTGGAGGCTACAGTCAATGCGAATAATACTCATTGTTGTCGGGGTGACGGGCGAGATCCCAAAAAGCTTACACGAAGGACTTCAAACCCTGAGTTTTGGAAACCAAAGACTTTATAACAATATGCAAAAGGCAGTGCCTCTGGATATATGTAGAATAGTGCGCAGGGTTCTTGAAGATATCTGAAACCGAAAGTGGTTGCCCAAGTTCAGCCATCTTGTCTAAGGACCGAGGTTGAATATATTGACCGGAGCAATCTGAGATTAGGGGAAAATAATAATAATAATAATAATAATAATAGACTTTAGCTTCAGATAATAGCATAACAAACATACAATACAGAGACCAATTAGTTGTACCGTCGACTGGCGGAGTCTAGCTTAGAATTAGCTACTCTACTGAACCAGTGGGTGGCATAATAGTACATAAACAAAATTATAAAAAGAAATTGACGTTGACGTCCTATCCCCGTTACGAATTTTTAAAGAATGGTTATAACAAATGCATAAGAAAAACTTTAAAGAAACAGAAAAAATCACTACAGCAAATACTGTAGATGCAGTAATTCTTTCATATATTTCATTATAAACGTATTACAATTTAAATTCACCAGGTTATTAGATATTGCATTATAATA